GAAGACGAACGGCAGCTGCTGCTGAGTATTTGCACAAAATCAATGTGCTCACAAATTACAAACGAAATTACAATCAGACACTTGATGTGCACAAGATGTGCAAATTGCATTTATCAATGCCAGCATATGGCCAGTCTTCGTGGATAGAAAAGGAAACTATATTCAAACGGGGAATTCAAATTGAATGTTTGAGTTGGAATAAATATATGTTATATAAAAATTTAATTTTCCTAATTAAAAGTACAAATTCAACGCCAAGTTTCAAGTTCTTCTCTTTCCCCTATTAACCCTGTAATAAACTCCTTTATTTTCCTTCCCTTATAGGTCATCCTTGTGCTCAAGGCCCTGGATCTTTATGGAGCTAGTCATCTGTCGGTCATCATCCAAATCATTTCGCATGTGGTGGCCTACACTAATTCCTGCATCAATCCGATACTCTACGCCTTCCTGTCCGACAACTTCCGCAAGGCTTTCCGCAAGGTGAGGGCAATACTTACTCTCTAAATGATTTATTTTTTCTTACAAATAATTTCCATTGTCCAGGTGGTATGGTGCTGTAGCCCACCGCCTCTGATGACCAATCAACAGGTGACAAAGACCACGCGAACTGCAACCGGCAACGGAACGTCCAATGTTGAAATGCTCTAAATGGGTATGTTTATAAGTGTAATAATTTTAAAATTAAATATTAATTATATAAAAATATGGTTTATTAACTTTTGAGCTAAATATGCTGCCAAATACCAAACTACTTACCTAGCCATTAGTTTTAATTATTTGTTAGCTCTTTATAAATAAAATTTTCCAGAGAGCGTTTACAATTCTCAACTGGTTCTAGCATAGCTTGAAATAAAGGGAGAAAGAGAGTTACGTAGGAAGAGCGAGTGAGGGGATAAAAGAGAGAGAGAGAGAGAGGGAGAGGTAAAACACTACTTTGGCTTAATTTTTGTTGGTAACAAATGTCATCAAGTTCTTCAGAATAAGCTCCACTTTTATAAAAACAAAAGAAATTAGAATATCTCCTCCACCTGTATATACATATGTGTGTACCTTCTAGATGAACAGGAAAGTTACGGCCTTTCGGACTTCTCATTCCAAATGTTTCATTTTAGAAATTTTTATTTAATTCAAATTTTTTAATAATTAATGTGCTTACCATTCTAAAAGTAATTAAATTACTTATTAAACTCACAAAAGAACATTTTTTTTAAAAGGTAACATAACTCCACTTAATATTTTTGCACAAAAAATAATAATAAATCTTGATTTCTATTTACAGCTCCTGAAAAAAACATTCCGTTGGAGGTCGTCGCATCATTTTTGAAGGCGCTTTCCTAAAACAAAATGTTAAAATGTGTATTTCAAAACAAAACAAATAATAAGTTAAAACAAAGATAACAAATTGATAAGTTAACTATATACATAAAAAACATGTACTTAAATTTATGTCTATAATATGGAGAATATAATTTTCCAAATTTCAAAATGTGATTCGTTGTTTATGTTTAATTTTTTTTTTTTGTAAGTCATAAGCAAACATTATTGTAAAGAGCATTTTATATTGTTTTTGGTTAAAGCCGTGTTAGTTTAATTTATAACTTGGTAAATATAGAATATAGAATTTAAGAGTATGACAGAAAATTGAATTTTATAAAAAAAGGAAAGCCTACAATCCAATTGTTGACAAAGAAATATTTGCATTCATTGGAACGCTGAATAAGATACCCTTTAATATCCTTTGACAGATTTCGAGGACACAGAAATTAAAGAGTTTAAAACAGGACTTCCTGTAACAACGTGTAAAACAGTTTCTGTGTGTGCGTGTCATTTAGTAATTGAGCGTTTGATGACAAAATTTTATAATTAAGCAAGCCCGCCCGCAGCCACAAAAGTTATAATTAAATTACACGACCAGCGTACGTAGATTGAACAGAAGAGATTTGCCACAGGGAAATGGGTGAGGGGAATATAAAATAAAATGGAACATTTTTGCAGTGAAATCGATTCAAATAAACTGCAGGGAAAAGAGTTGCACCAGGGGATATCTGATTTTTTTGTATAGCCATTAAGTGTAAACCTTTATATAGTTATTGCCAGATCTGTAGTTCTAGCTTTAGACTCCAATTTAACCTGTATTTGTAGTACTAATCACTTGTACCAGCAAAGCTCAATTGAATATGAATCCCATTTGCATACATATGTAAGCCGCTTAATCCTTTTAGCGTGTCCCCAAAGCTAATTAAATTATTCAACCGGAATTAAAACCCCCTTTTTTAATTACAAAAACAATTTACCACATCAATTCAGCTGATTTCCCCCCCAAACAAATTAATTAACCAACTGTTTGCCATTATTAGTTCCTTGGTTATCAACAAATCAAATCAATTAAATATTTTTAAAACATTTTTTTTTTAATTTGTTTAATCCTTGCCGTATAAGAGTGTAAGCTATTATTAAATAATACAAGTTACATAAGAAATATATTACTAATAAATAATTATAATTGTAATTGTAATTGTATATCCTACTGCATTCCTAGCACAGTTGTGGAATTGAACAATATTTGAATTTAGCAAAAGGAAACTTTTCGAACAAACCAAACACACATACAAAATTGAGCTGAGAAAAACAATTTAAATATTTTAGGAAATAAGAACATTTTTTGTATTCGCCCGCTTAAATGTAGGGTATTTACTAGCCGCCAAGCCACAATGAGGGGGAAATGACAAAAAAAAAACATACTAGGAATGTGAAATGAATACACATTCATTTCATTTCCCTTTAAACAACAACAAATAGTTAAATATAGTGTAAGGTGAAAAAGTTGGCATTATTGTATTTGTATGTGAGTGTATATGTACAATAAATTTTCTTCATTGTGTTGAATAAAAATTGATGACTCTGTGTACACTAAATATATGTGTGTGTTTTCTTAGGGATCATGATGTTTATTTCAGAATATTTTAACTTTAACATTTCCAATAATCTGGGTACACTCCTATGATCAATCAACAGGTAACCAAGAAGTTGAAGTTGCCTCGCTAGTGCGCTTATAATTTCCAACGGGTTCTAACATACCCTGAATGATATAACGGTTGCCAGCCAAGATTTTAGGGACGGAAAAAGAGAGTGACGTAGAAAGAGCAAGAGGGAGAGGGAGGGGTACAAACACTGTTCTGACTGGATTTTTGCTGGTAACAAATTTAATATATAATATTTTTATTACTTTTTATTGGTAACGTTTTCGGTAGCACCAAGGATAACAAAAATGTGCCTGGTTGCCAAAAAAAAAAGAAAATTGAAGAGCTCCTTACTAGAGCTCTGCCAACTGAAAACTGGACAGAAAAGTCACAGCCTTCCTAATATCTCATTTTAAATATTTCTATTTGATTTTCTAATTCAATTTTAAAGAAACTTGGCAAATCGTTATGTTGTTTGAAAAAATCGTGAATGGGTCAACTGTAATTTTTTATTTTATTAAATTAAAATATTTAATTAAATTAATTTTTTTTATTAATTTCATAAAATACCCATTTTGTCTCTTAAATATCGATAATAAAATTTAAGATAATAGAATTATTAATAAAATTAATTTAAATTTTGGGCTCAAGTGGCGTATGCGCAATATTCTATTCTGTGGTCAAATCAGAATTAAATTATTTGCATTAAGCTCTAATCTGTAGAGAAACATGCTGAATATGTGAAACAAACATACATATGTAGATGCCGTAAATGCATTAATTTGACACAATATTTGTTTACTCATTAATTTCTTGTTTGCTTTCGACAGCTCACCAAAACAAATGCAGAGCATTCAATAACGTTATATACATATATAACTATGTATGTATATATATTCCCACTTAAAAAAAATTTTTGTTAATACCAAAAGGAAAATAGTTTTCCCAAAGAGCAACCAACCACTGACAAAGTCATCTAGGAACTGAACTCGAACAAGAAGTCAACCCGAAAAAGGACTCGACTAGGAATCAGAGGAGCAGGGCTGCCAGGTATGGTGCAACATAAACTGGGACCAAATGTGTAAACAGTGACATTATTAAGCTAACCTATGGCCTGCTCTTGTGTGGGCGTAGATTTTACCTAGACGCACAGTGGGCTGAAAAAATCTGTGTACAGGTAATAGGAACATTTTTAAATGGATCAACTTGACTTGTTATAGCTGAGACAAATTTGTTACTTGAGTAGAATGAAGTAAAATTTCTTCCAGCGATTAGGTTGTACAAAATATAAATAAAATAATCAAAAATTTAAAAATGCCGCATGAGTACACAAATAATTCTCAACTGGTTCTAACATAACTTGAATGAAGTGAGAGAAATAGAAAGAGAGAGATAGAAGTAGAAAGAGCGATAGTGTGGGATAAAAAAAGTGGGAGTGACATATAATATATATTTTATATTAAAAAAAATAAATTTGGCATATTTTATACATCCAATATACTATATATTAAACGATTTATAAAAATCAACACAGCTTCTGCGATATTTAATATACAAAACATAAATGTAATTCTTTTGCCTGTTATTTGTTTTTACCAAAATAGGCTTCTACCCACAGTCCAGGAGCGTGGGCAGTATTGAAATTCAAGCAAATATTGGAAAATTTATGCCAACTTCGATATAAAATCATGTGCTGAACGTGGACCTTAGCTATCTTTTTACGAGGCAAACAAAGGGGAATAGCCGGCGAACCATAATTTGCTGGATTTTATGATGTTTTGTTAGCCAGGCAGCCAACAACCTGTTGTGGAGGATGTTGCAGAGGCGCACAGGTAACACTTTTGTTGGGTCCAATTTGTGGCACAAAGCAGCCGGTCGGCGGACCGACCGCAGATAAATAAGACAATAAGCGACACGGGCCGCACGCAGCATACGCATTCGCAATTGCTGCCGTTGCTCTTCATTAGATTGGATTGGCCGAGGACATTGTACATGGTCCTGGACCGGCCTCATTACTTCAAATACAACGCACTCTGACCGCCACCCCGATTTAATTATGCCGACGCCCGACAGTTGGCCGCCAAGCCGGCTCCGGATATATTTCAAAACCGGACAACGCAGTGGCCAAAGCGCTCAGTCGGCCCGCGTCCGCCGTGTTAGCCACACCACCAAAAGGATCTTCGAGGGATCAGGCCGCATCGCAATGGCCCGAATGTTAATGCCATCAGCAACAGTGAGTGTCGGTGCCCGGAGCTGGACATTGTGCGGAGCTGTACTGCTGTTCGTCCTGCCGCTGATCCCAACGCCGGAGGCACTGCAGCACACAGAGGAGGGCCTAGAGATGCTCTTTCGTGAGCGGTAAGCCTTACAGATAGTCCTCGTAGTGACTCCTCAAAACGAAACCCAAGGGAAATCATTTTCGAAAAAATCCTTGTTTTTTTTAGCTCCCAATCGGACTGGGAGAATGTGTGGCATCAGGAGGCACACTCCCGGTGCCGGGACAAGCTCGTCCGTCAGCTATACTGGGCCTGTGAAAAGGATATTTACCGGCTGACACGACGCAATAAGAAAAGGACGGGCAACGATGAGTCCTGGCTCAAGAAGAGCTCCACAGATCGTGAGTTTTTTAATGACAAGTTGAAATATTTATATGACCAGTTAGTTCAACATAAAATAACCTACACTAATACTTAAATAATTGGTAATTTCTACTGGTTTTTCCTCAAGAATTTATAGTAAGTTTTAGTTTCTTGAGTAAGTTTAATAGGAAAATGTCAAATTGGAAAAATCTATGGATTTTAAATCATTTTATGATACAAATTTTTTTTTTAATTAAAAATAGATATGCATATAAATCTAATAAAAAAAAATGAGTGCGGTCATATTATGCAAATTTGTGCACAAACGTAATATTTACTAGAAAATAAAATGGTTCTATCTCTTACTCGCTCGCACTCGCACATTCCACAAATGTCTAGCCGAGTCTCGAACCACAGTTTCGCACTTGAATGATCCATAACCTAACTTTTTTATGCTTTTTCTATTACCGTTAACGTATTTTGTACAACTTTTGAATTAAGAAATCTTGGAAAGATTTCAACACTCCACTATTGCTTTTTTACTAGCTTTACACTAGTCACTCTGTCTCAAAATAAACGAATATATTGTGTCTCTGATCCTTAATCCTCTTCCAGCAAATGGCTCCACCTGGCTGCATGTGAACTATGCAAATATGTTCCTCAGAAGTCGTCGATCGGATGCTCCGTCCATTACAAATGAATGCTGCACCAAGACGGGCTGTACCTGGGAAGAATACGCCGAGTATTGTCCATCCAATAAGCGACGCAATCACTACTGAATTACCAAATCTGCATAGTAATACTTGATACTTATATATATAATATTCGCTTTTTTTCCGTGGTTGTTGTTGTTGGTGTTCTTGCTGTGTTAAAATAAAGATTTTATGTCGCAACTGTTGGGCTGGCATTAAAAAAAAGAATTTTAAATGCAATTTTCAATTAAAAATATAAGCATAACATAAAAAAAAACCAAAGTGGGAGTGCGTAAACCTTATTTCAAAGATTACGTTTACCTATTTTGATGTATTTTATATTTTAAAAGCCATTATAATCATAACATATCTGTTAAATTTAGGTTTACTTCTTAACGTTCTTTGAAAAATCTCCACATTCTTTCGCTTAAGTTATTCATTTTTTAAAGGGCTTTATTAACACTTAAACAGTTTTTTAACTAATTAAATCTAACATGTATGTATGTACATATGTACATACAAAATATTTAAATACATCAGCTTTTTATGTTAAAAGTAAGGGATACAAATTTAATATATCAAATACAGCGTATTAATATTTCTACAGTATATGTGCCACGCCAACCAACCGCTCTCTCTCAAGGAATTTGATTTAATTCCTTAGCTTCAATAAATTTTAGTAAAGTAAATAGTCCCTTTATATTGAATTCAGAGAAATAAGAAATAATTATGATAATTAAAGCATAATTATTGTATTTTAATGCAAGTGTTGAATAATATTTGCTTACGGGTCACTTTTCAAAAATTTCTTATGGCGAAAAAACAATAAAAAAAATATAAAAAAAAAAACAAATAAAATAAAAAAATAATAACATTTATAAATAGGTCACAAACCGCATATTTTCCCGATTTCTTTGCCATAAAAGTATGTAAAATCTTTCTTGTTCAAATTAGTTCATTACTAAAATCTAAAATAATATAAAAAATAAAAAAAACACATTTGGGCTGGCTTTTTTTTAACAATTACTCGCTGAACTATCAACAATATAAACTATAAGATGCATAACTTGTGCCCTCTCGCTCGCACAAATTTGTGAAACCGAAGAAATCTAGAAACAGAAATAACCCTGAACGTAGAGAGTCTTTGGTATAACTAAACAGAAACCCTTAACAAAATAAAACTAACAAATTTAGGGATTTTGTTTTCTTTAACTTTAAGATATTTGATTTATCACTGCTTACTAGGTAGCTTAAATTAAGAAAAAAAAGATGAATTAGAATTTAAATTTAAAAAAAACAGAAAATTTCAATTTTTATGTCAACAGAATGGCAACGTTTCTACCATTTAGATTTCCTTTCTTTAAGGCTTTCAAAACCTTCCTTCTTCAAAAAAAAAAATGGAGTAGCTACCCCCTCTCCCCCTGTAGCTTTGGAAATCAAATACATTACACTAATATCACTTAGTTAATAGATATATTGGGATTTATAATCCCTTTTTATTTGCCGCTGCTGCCATCCAAAAGATTCTCTTCATTCTCCTTGCGACTTTTGCTGGCGGAGCTGGAGGGCGTTGATCGTGGTCTCTTGGTGGCCTGTCCCTGTTCGTAATGAGTGTCTAGCATTTCCAGCAGCGTCAACTGGCGTCCACCTGGCTTGGAGCTGCTGCTGCTGCTACTCTTGGCTGCGTTGCTGCTGTTATTAGTGCTCTTCTTATTGGTGGCTGAATCCCCGCTTTCGTTTTTCGCCTCTAAGCTGGCTGCCATCATCATGGCATTGGCCTCCTCATCGTCGGATAACAGTAGAGCAACCGTTGGATCTGGTGACGAATTGGAATTGTCTTGGGAGGATTGAGTGGCAAATAGATCGGGACTTTGTTGTGGTTGTTTCTTAGTGCGTAATGGTGGTGATCCTGTTACGGATCCCTCTGCTTCCAATGGCTTTTTTATACCTGAAGAAACACCTGCCTCTGATGATTCTTGGGATCCTGAAGCCACTTTGCTTGCTTCTATTTCCGCCGTTTCTTCCGAATCTCCAGATGGAGATTCTGCACCGTCATCGCAAGTTCCTCTCGGGTTCTTTCTTTTAGTCAACTGCTCCCTTATAAATTGGTATAACTTCTTTTTGGTCGGCTTACTCTTGCGCAACTCCTGGCCCTTCCCCATTATTAGCTCACTGTAGCTCTTGAGAATCCTCCACAGCTGTTGCACTGTTGTACCCTCCGACTGGAAGAGCGTCCACATGGCATGGATATCGTCGCGCAACTGGGCATTGCCAAAGGTATAATAGGCCAAGGGTCTGCCCAATTGGGCACAAACCATTAGTTGCAATAGAGATTTTAGGTATGGATCGCCACCGAATGCACCGCATCCCCAATTGCCGGTTGCCACACCGGGTGGGGGCGTGGCCATCCAATGGACAAATCCAATGTGCGCCTTGTTCAGCTCCCTCTCCATCAGATCGACACGATATTGATGCGTGGCCTGGGCAAAATGGAGGGCATCGATAGCCACAATGGCTGTTTGACGCCGGCGCGATGAGTCTCTGGGCGTACGATCTTCGTGATTGCCCGACCATTCAAAGCTGTTGGCATATCCCGTGTAGTTGCTATATCTTTCCGCACCCAACATGACCAAAGCTTCATAGGGTCGCAGGGATTCCGTGAACAGTTTGCCCACCAACAATTCCGGACAGATCACAAATCGTATTTCCTCCTGGACGCATCCATGACCCAGAACACCGCCACCCAAATATTTGTTGGCAAAGTCCACCTGAAGCAGACCAAGGCCTTCATCCTCGATCGTCCCCTCGGCATCCACATGCAAGGGTACTGAACCCAATGGTGCCGCACTCTCGTTCCATCGAACTTGGTTCTCCGGCTTGGCGCTGCGTCGAACGAAGGTGACAGCCCCGGTGGGCACATTGCTCGAATCCCGTTCCGTTGGACAGACGCGACGGAAATAGTGCATAATGCATTTGAGCTTCTCCAGAACCGCCGGACCCGTTGATTGATATAGCCTGTCAATGATTGAGAGATATGGATTTCTAAGAAACTAGCTCTATAATCTGGAAATCTGCTCGCTCGCTCACCTGTTAAAGTTTATGTCGGGAAAAGTGCTGTACTCGGACTTCCGCTTCAGTGTATTCCGCCTCGGAAAGGTACATAGAAAAGCATTTGCCAGCAGGCAGGCTATCTGTTGTTGGCTCAAAGTCAGAGCCGAGTTGTGATGTTGCTTCAGCAGCGGCACTGGGGCCTGGACCAAGTCCGGTAGCCTCAGCGCCAGCCGAATGATACGAGGCAATAGATCTTCGAAAAAGACCCTCGACTCGCTCTCGTCCAGCTCGTCGTCCAGCAACTGATGCAGGGCTCGGAAATTCCACTGGTCGCGATAGGTGGTGTTGTATGACAGGATAGCTGCCTGAAGCTCCACGGCGGATTCTATAGGCTGCAGCAGCGCCCGCTCGATCATCTCCCAGCGGGAGTCTATGCTCGTTGTGCCATCCTCGTTCTCCCGCGGATATTTACTCTCTGGCGCACAGGGCAAGCGCACATGCTCCGAATCCCACTTGCCAGGTGCCTTATGCGGCCGTGGCGGCTGCTGGGGCGATTCCTTAACAGGAATTCGATACAAAACTCGGTGCACGTTGCTCGATGTCACCGGGCCGAGGTGCTCTAGTTCAAAGACGTGGCGGCCCCGATGAATGGCCTCTATGGGCACACCGCGCCACGACTTTTCAGGTGAGCCACCGGTACTGCTGCCGCTACTGCGTTCCACTTCGTCCTCCGAGGAGTCACCCGCAATGTTTACAATCTCCATTTGCTCCTGATTCGCCGGCGACTCGTCCATTTCCATTTTGGAAATCCCGCCATTCATGGGCTCCGATGACATTGCGCCTTCACTTTCCAGATTCCCCTTACCCGGCCGGAAGGACAGCGCGGCACTTAACCTGCAGCGGAGTGGCCGCGAGTTGAGGAGCTGCCGGAATGTGAACAGAATGATGCGGAGCTTGCTTTTTAAGCTGTTTTCGTTTCGGAAACTTTACTTTTCTGCGGCAATTCACGCCTCCTTATCGATAAACGGCAGTGTGGCCACACCGTGTGTAGGCGGTGACAACGATAGAGATGTGCGGCCGAAACGATAGTTGGGAAAATATTTTACCGGAAAGATATCGCATTTTGAGAGGAATTGCCTGTCAATAGAAGTCCGTATTAACAAATTATGGTGAATTAACAATCTGCTTAGTATAATTTTCTAATTCCTGAATTATTAAATAAAAATAAATATATTATTATTGAGACAAATCACCTGGACTTTGATGTTTTTGGATTTAAAGTTTATGCAAACAAAAGCTATGTACCGATTTCTACCCTCATTGTTTAATATTTTATAAGGCCTCGGCTAAAAAATGTTTTCCCACCATTTGTTTTAAATTTGCACATCTCTATCTGTAAGCATATTTCAGCAGCGGCGTGTACACACTGGCTTGTGCGGTATTTAAATACTGTAGTGTAAATGGCAAAACGACTAAAACAGAACCAAGTAACCGGCGGCAAAAACAACAAAAACACCAAGAACAGCAGCACACAACTACTTTCTGTATTTTTTTAGTGCATAGAAAAGAAGCCCGACATTAAAGTGAATAAAAAACGAAATAAGCTCGGTGGTTCGTTCAAAGTGAAGTGAATGAATTTGAAAACTCCCCAATGAAACAGTACTGAATGCGGCTATAAGCAGTTATTTACGGTTAAATAATGAACTCGCCAAATTGAAAATAATATTCGTAATCAATACAACAATATCATAATTGAGAAAGGTAAGCCTATAAATACCTACATACATATTTACTAAAGTAGTTCTAAGCATTTAGTTTATTTTATTTTTACCACTCTAGTTGACGTCAGTGACGAAATCGCGGCTTCCTTTCTATAAACCTTTCTGTTGCTTTTCTCTCGCTCGCACTTTCGCTGTCTGTCATTCAACTTTCTGGCCTTGCCTTGCCTCTCTTTCACGTACACACAACTTGAGCTTACGTGTAAAAACAAAGAAAAAAACCCCGCTGCATACACGTGCAAAAATTGTGAGAGAGCAAGAGAGAGAGAGAGAGCGCTTTTGTTTGTTTTGAAAGCGGCGCAAAAACAATAAAAAATTGCAATAAAAAAGCACACACTTCAAACAAAAGAAACTAAATACATAGCCAGCTAAAACCAAAATAAGTATGTATAATTTATTGAATGTACTTTGCTAAAGTTCAACACACCTTTATCTCCGAGAAATTTTTGTCTAAATAGCTCTCTCTCTCTCTTTTTGTCTTTGGCGCCCCCTCTTGCTCCCCTATTTGGTTCTCTCCCAGTCGCTCTTTTGCGTAAACAAATGAAAGCAGCAAAAGGGGCAAAAAATATAAAACACGCAGGAATTATCAGTACCTAACTAAAAGAATTCTACAAAATTAAACTATACAAGCATACATACAAATACGCGATTTATACTCTCTTTTTGTATTTGTATCTTTCTTCTGATTGTATTTAGCCTTCAAGATTTGCTTAGATTTTGCCTTGACCATAACCTAGAAATACTCGAAAAATAAATATACAGTGGATATTCGCTAGCTTGAACTCACACCCAAAATGATCATATTGTGATTTTTTATCTCTTCGTATTTTTTTTTTTTTTTTTTTAATTTGTATTTGAAGTCCTTAGAAATAATGTTGTTTTTATTGTTTAATTAGGCAGTTTCAATTATTTGGGTTAAACTGTATTTAGCTATTTCTGCCTCTTTTCTGATTTGCGTCAGCTGCAAACAGGTAAAGTGTGCGACTGGGATGGAGCACGGAGTGGGATGGCAAGAGGGGGTGGCGCAGAAAACAAACAACAACAAAATTGCATAGAGCGAAATAATCGCATAGAAAGCAAGCAAAGAAAAACGCCAAAATAAAAATACAAATGGGAAATGTTAGTAAACTTTTTCAAGGTCACCTCAAAAACATGAACTAATACTAATCAACGACCAGAAGAAGAAGAAAGAGAGGCAGCGACGTCGACTGCATTTTTTTTTTGTTCGCGTTCTAGAATCAATTGTCGATATGGATCCGAGAGCAAGGGGTAGAACGAAATTGTTTTAAACATAATTTTTTATACTCTTACAGGGTATTATAATTTTAGTCAGAAGTTCATTTCCGACCCTACAAAGTATTTACATATTTGTACATCAACAACAGGGTCGATCTAGTCATAGGAACGATGGGAAAATGAATATAAAAAATTCACTGTTTTTCAACATATGCACATATAATATACATAATATATATAATTATTATAATAATTTCCTTTAATTTTTTCTAATAAGAATGGATCGATTTTTAAAGGCCCAATTAAAAACTGCAAGGGTATACAAACTTCGGCGCGCCGAAGTTTGCATTCTTTTTTTGTTATTAATTAATTTTAAAGCTTTTTCAGTTATATGCAATAATTAAAAAAAAAGTAAAAAGATAAATGAAGTCGTTTTTGCTTGCTTTTGTTTCTCTAATTTTTATTTAAATATTTTTTTTTTCGTTTTGTGGCTTGTTTGCTTTTGACAACGGGACTTGGCTCACGTTGGCATTGAAGATGACGAAGATGAATGTACATATGTGATTTCGTTATTTTATTATTTTTAAATTTATTTATTATTAAACTCAATTATTTACAAGAATGAAAATATTCACAATAATTAGTCTATTAGCGGTCTAATTAAAAAATATAACTATATTAAATTATGTTAAAATATCTACAAAAAAAAGCTAGCAATTGTGAAACATGTGTATATGGGGTATGTATGTACTATGTATATGTGCTTTTTTTTTACCATTTTAAATGATAATGCTATATTTATTGCTTACATACACGAAACCGTAATTGGGAGTATAGAATAAAATGCAGGAGGCAATTTAGAAAAGAAAAGAGAGCGACCCCACCGAGTTGCTAAGGAGGGTCGCTAAACTTTATCACCCCCCTCTTTTCCCCCTTTTCAATTGCTATTATTTTAGCAGAAACAAAAATTCGCACACACTCTCAAGCATAATAAAAACCAAAATAAAGTAAAAACAAAAATAACAAAAATAAAATTCGCATGCGCGCATGACCTTGAATTTTTGTTATAAGAAGCGAACATCTGACTGGGACGCCGGCAGCGACGCCAGCAGTGCGATTGCAATGTGAAATGAAAAGAAAAAAAATAATAAAAAAAAATAGCTCACACAAACAAGAGCGAAATTTCTTCGTCTAGAAAAAAAAAAAACAAATAAAGGCAGCGATTTTGCTTATTAAATGAGAAAAATGCTAAAAGAGAATAATAACATATTTACCAAACTCTTTAAATTTAAATTTTAAGTTTTAAAATCATAGTAAAATTTAAAATGTAAATAAAAAGCTAAGGCCAGAAATAACAATAATTAAACAATAAACAAATAAACAATTGTAAAAAACCTAAAAAAAAGTAAAATAAGTAAGGAAGCACAGTCAAGTCCGCTCGAATAGCGTAAATTTAATGTCGCCCATTCATATGACACCAAAACGAACTCACAATATTTTTTTTTTTCGAAATAATACCCTATTATTTGCTTAATTTTGACTAATGTTTACGCCCTCGAAGAGAAATCATGTTTTTTTTTTTTTTTGTTTTTTGCATGTTTTTAAATAAAATCCAAGTATGTATGTATGTACACATATCTAGCTTAATAAAATGTGCTCAAAGTTAAAAATAAATATGCAATAACAAAAAATAACAATAACAAGAAAAGGTGATGACCAGTCAAGAAGGCCTTAACCCCATTAAATTTTGTAAAAACAATAGCATCAACATGGCCAAAAAAATAAATATAAATAATAACAATAACAACTCACGCGTCGCAATAAAAAAATTGTCTATTTATTTTAAAGACTTATATAAGTGAGAGAGAGAGAGAGAGAGGGAGACGACACTCAAATTGTATGCGTGAAAGTGAAAATAAAACAAGTAGGAAAGTTACAGTGCGCTCGCCTATGAAATACCCGGTTCCCAAAGCTTTCTGCAAATAGCCTTGAGATAGTATCTTTTACAGACTCGTGTTTCCCAAACGATAGCTTCTGATGACTTAAAAAAGTTTATAGGAATTTTAAATATTAAAATTATGTAAAAATAATATTACAATGTTTACAGACTTTACGAGGCAAGTAACATATACATTATCCTTATTTTAAATTATTTGTTTATTAACAGAAACCGACTTGACTTAAATCAACTAGAAGGTCTTAAAATAAATCTTGGTTAATATTTTTTAATATAGTATGTCAGAGCATATACACATACAGTATCAAAATTATAAGAAGCTCAGTTATAATTATTATATAACAATTGAAATACAAGAAAAGCCTTGACTTGACAACACAACGAATCAAATAAAGTAAGCCAAAAACAAACAATACAACAAACACATGTCAACAAGTAAAGCGAATTGTTTTTTTTTTTTTTTTTTTATAACAAACAATTACAATTATTTCCACATTAAGTCATTCGGCTGCTGCAAAAATTAATTCGTTTTTAATTTGTGCGCACATAAGGCCTTCCTTTTTCTTTTGTATTTGTCTCTCTTTTCTCTGTTGTGAGAATACCTTTTGGGGTTTTTGGCCCGTGTTCGATTTTTGCTATATTTACTATAGTCCCCAGGAAGTAGATAATAATGTGTGCCGCCGATTCGATAAATGCTTAAATATACCTACATATATACATACCTATATATACATTCATATATATATTTTTTTATGTATTTCGGTGTATATTGTGTTTAAACTTCAAAGTGTTATTTTTTTTAAAGAAAAAATAGGGTTACCTTTCATAAAACCTTTTTATTTTAATTTACAAACATGAAAAAATAATTGTGGCTTATATGGAATATAGTTTTCTATATTTATATTTTAGTTTTTTGGAATATAGTTTTCTATATTTATATTATAGTTTTTTGGAATATAGTTTTCTACATATTGAAGCATTTTAAATGCCAGAAATTAAGAAAATCATTTCAAAAGAAAATTAAAATGTACTGTGGCTATGATGAGGGAAAATAAGAAATTAAATGTAATCGAAAAAATACATAAATTTAAGAGTGCAACAGCACAAAACAAAATTTGGAAAGAGAAAAAACAATAATCTCGAAGAAAGCATAATTGTGTGCTGAAAATGTATGAAAACGTTGACATTGAAAATGTGACAAAAATAATTATTTCGAAATTTTCGGTTATTTGGCGCATGCTGTTGTTGTTGCTGTTTTTTGTTTTGTGTTGATTAATATTTAACAAGAGCGTGGGAAAATTTCTTATTTTGTATTTGCTTTGAAGATATGGTTGACAGGAATTTTGTCCGTCCGAAGAGCACTATATTTTCTTGCTTTTATTTTTGCAATTTTGAGAAAATTATCTCAAATGTGAAAGAGGAAGCAATATTTTTTGGGGAAAGGTTGTCTCATTATTGACCTGCCATTGCTTTTAATTCCTACACTTGTTGCAGCATTTATGTATTTATATTTTTCAAACTGTGTACTTCCCCTCCTCTATTTTATTAGTCAAAGTCGGTGTTCGACCTTCACATGAGCCAAGTTTGAATTACAATCAATTTGTATACATATATATATATTTTTTTTGCTTATTTCCCAAGAATATAAAACCCCTTGCAGCCATTTTAGACCCGTTTTTTATTTTCGTTTCCCACCTGCCTTGCTGCTAACTACAGACTTATGTATGTACATACATATGTACAAATGTTTACATATATATTTTTTCCGACACCTGCACTTCGTCACTTTG